TGCTGTAACCCCCAAGGCAAGAGCCCACACCAAAACTGCGGCTTAATACGAGGGAATGAAGCCCTGTGGTGAGACAGAGAGATATTGAAAGAGTCTCTCAGAGGAAGAAGTGCAAGCCTCATTGCTTGAATAATTTAAATCCTAAATGAATAATACAAATGCAAATATACTAAAGGGAACTATCCACTGGCAGGGCCTTGAGTAAATGGATATATTGATGGTTTTTGTAATTCTCTTTTCATACCTGTACCTGCTAATTCCAAAATGATCCTTAGTCATGAGGTTTTGAATACCTAAGCATTCTAATGTAGCACATAATAATAACAATGGATACTGTAGGATAGCTAACAACTTTTTGTGAATTCTTACAGAAAAAGTGAAGTTACTTGCTGTCTTACTCTTTTCCCATGTAATGTTACCTTTAATAGACTAGGAAATTTAGCACACATAAATTCTGCCTTATGGATTTTGCATTTATAATTCAAATTCTTGTCATCAAATTACTGTCTCAGAGTGAATTACATGTAAAATATACATTGAATGAAATCCAAAATATAACTTTTTTATTACTGATTAAACTAGCTGTAAAATTAAATAGAAATTTTTAATCACTTTTTAGACTGCAATTTCATGCAGACACTTCTTTTGTCATCCTAAAAACCTGATAGTCTTTCCTCCCATGTATATATCTGAAGTCTTGAATACTAATAAGACCCATGTGCAGACACAATGATGACGAATGCCTTAAGGCCAAATATAATAATTGCCTCTGTGTAATCCCATTGACTTTAGTGGTCTTGCCAGGAATAGGAGCCTTTATTTTAGATGGAAAAAGTGAAACACAAAATAACCATAATCAGATCTAATTCAAGGTGACTTTTGTAGCACCAAAAATAAGGCATTCCCATTTTTCTGTGTAGACCATGTGGCTTTAGGATTAAGAATGACCTGGTGTCCAAGGCATCAGCACAGTGCAAGAAAATACAAAGTATTGCTTGAAGAAGCCAGCTCTGGCAGCAGCAATTGCCACCACACTCACCTAGTGCCTTTCTCAGTAGCATCAGCAGAGATTTGCTATTTGGATGCTCATGATGTTCAAGTAGTTGATTTCTATCTTCTCCAACAGAAGTAATTTGGCAGTCTGCTGTCCCCAGCAACTGCATACTTTGCCTGAGCCTCAAGTGCAGACAGTCATAATCTAAATGATGATCATTATTATTGTGAAGGACCAAAACAAAATCTAGAGCTATAACTTGATGTTCTGGAAAGACATAAACAAGTAAAGAGATGAGAAAACAAGACTGATATAAACTAAAGGTGATAATAAAAGACATGACCTGTCAGACAATCAGAAATTCTATCTTAGCCTAAAATGGGATTAAAAATAAAGTTTCAATATTGCTTTTGACAGCTCTGAAGACAATTCCAGCCATATTTAAAATTGTAAGCATATGCAACATAAGTGGATGAAGAAAGAAAAAAGAAAGAGAGAGAGAAAGAGAGAAAGAGAGAAAGA